TCCGCGATGGGCCAGTCCCTGTGAGAAGCACGCCAACGCTGCTTATGAAGATAGAGGGGGCCCCACCATGTCAAGAATGTTCAAAGGTCGACTGCACAGAGAGCAAAACCCACCCAGGTATCTTCGAACCTGAACCTAACATCGAAGTTGGGAGTTTATACAAGTGTTGGGCCGACCTTGACATAGCCCTTAGTATGGCAGGACTGCGCCATAGCCTCTATATGAAGACAGACTGCCCAGTAACAGCCATGCTTCAAAGATGGCAGATGACGTGCACCCCAGCATCCACTTCTTAATGTGCTCTTAGAGCAAGAATGAATGTCGCAGGCATTTATGTTGGCAATGGCTCCCAGTGAGCTCCACACCATACTGGGCTAGAAGACGCCCGAAGTCGGCTCTGAAAGTAAGTACTGGTTTCAGCTCTAGACGCGAAGGTTCGCGAGCAGCTGCACGATGCTTGTCCACGGAACCATCCACGCCTGGGGAAGAGTCGGAGCCCGATTTCACTTCAGAACTGGACGTAAAGATCTGTCCCGGTTCCCGGGCATCAAAAAGCACGTCTGGGTGCTGGTTCTGTCTCGGAAGGGCTGCGTAGGCCACACTTCCGCCACCAGGCGTGTTCGCGTTTGGGGTCAACCAAACAGCACTGAGTAGCAGAAGCTCCCAGGCATCTGCTGCCAGTGACGTGTCTTGGGGTGCCGTAAGGACATTTAGGGTCAAATTAGGGCCAACTCCTGAGTACTCTCTAAACCACATCTTGCCTTGTGCACCCTGTCTTAGGGCACAGACCCTTATAACTTATGAGTGTGTTATGGGTGCGCCTTATGAGTTGCAATCCCTCTAGACACCTGAATCTAAGCTTTCGGTAGCTGTGTTCTTCCTCTTCTTGAATGGCGACTAGGAAGGCTTACTGACAACGGTCAAGAATGTGCGCGCATACTCCAACTTCGGGATTCCTTGGGTTGTCATGGCGGAATGAGGACACATGTTTGGAGGGGGGGGGGGGGGATTACGCCGAACATTGGAGCGCCGGCGAATCTATGTCCTCAACAACCCTAAACCCTAAACCCTAAACCCTAAACCCTAAACCCTAAACCCTATTTGAAAATTACTAGGATGTTTTCTTACGCCGCGCTGCCAAGATCCGCAGCCACACATTAAAACCACACCTGACCACTAGTCGAAACAACCCTGACTGCGTGAGGCTAGCACATAAGCGGGGGTTTACGAAAATAGGGGGCCCCCAACATAGATCCCCAAATAGTCGGATCCCCTTATCAAAAGGACCCCAATAAGGTCCCCCTAATTTCAGGGACCCTCATGCTGTAAGCCCTTGCAAGCAACACATCTTTTCAACACCCGTGACGTCAACCGCTGGGGCGAGCCGACGAGCCGAGTAGCGTTACTTCGGGTAGGTTTTTTGGGGATTCAGGAGTTGTTCTTGCTTCTCCCAAACCCCAAACCCTAAACCCTAAACCCTAAACCCTAAACCGGCCCTTTTTTGATGCCCTTGAACACTTCAGGGTTTGGGGCTGACGCTTCAGGGTTTCGACTATCGGCGTAGGCCTTAATCATCGCGAGGGGGATATGAGCGTTTGGAGTGGTCCATAGTGCACCTCCTTATGCACCCACCGTAGGTTGCCTAACCCCCTGAAACATCTCCGCGAAGCCCTCACTCCACCTTTGCAACCCTCGGCTCTGGCTACCTACAGGGCTTAGGCCTGTAGATGCTCGGGTGGGGAGTGGGAGAGTGCAGGCTTTTCGGCTAAGTTTTCTGTGGGGCTTGGGTGTGCCGCACGGGGACTTGGGTCTCAAATTTCCCGACACAGCAAGCTCTCCCTCTCCCTCCCAGCCCGTGAAACAAGGCCCATTGAAAGATCCGCAAACCTCTGAACATAAAGCCCATGGACCTCCGAAAAACCCTGAAGCATACATCCCTGAATCACTCTCTTAGCCGCATTAACTTAGCTGACCCTGGACCTTTGAAAGCCAAGAGGCATTCGCGCAAGGGCTTTCGGTCCTCTGGGGAGAGAGGTGTGCGGCAGGTCCTTGGCGGCAAGCAGATCTTGAAAGTTGGTTCTTTGGTTGCGGGACATGTCAAGACAAACACTGCAAGCCATACGTGTGGTCTCAGCCTACAAAACGAGAATGTGGTAGATCATGGCTTCACTCTGCCCAGTACCATCTTCTCGCTGGTTGCTACTCTGCGGCAGGCTTCTGAATGCTGTCGGCCCACGCCTTGCATGCTCAACCATGCTGCCTAGTGACGGACAGGCCAGGCACGGTGAAATGCACTCACTGCCTCAGGGACAGAAGATGCTGAGCAATATGGAAAGCTGGCGGCAACGGTTGAATCACCAAGGACTAACTTCACCGTGACATACTTGGCACGACTTCAAACTCACGAGGGTTTGAGAGGTGGGGGGTTGCATGGAGACTCGGTGAGAGTTTTTTAAACGCATCCTGGCCCAAAACCCTACCACACTTGCAGGCTACTGATAGTGCAGCGCTTTGAGCTTACATGCTGACTCGCTGTCGGGTTGTTGCCAGCTGCCTAGCTGACTGGGTTTCGGCTGACTAGCTGGTGGACGTTTCCCACCTGCAGGCTGTGTTGCAGAAGTGACTAGCTGCTTCTGTGTGGCATTAAAGCTTGAGGCGAAAACGGCACGTGCAGAGATGAGGGTGCCCAAGATTCACATCACCCACGAACCCGAGACTCTTGAGGCCCCAAATCTCCGATGCACTCCGACACCACTGAAAAAGACGCTTGAAAAAATCCTGGGAAGCGGTGCAGAATACGTGGTCGCAAATCGTCTGCATGGGGTCGCTCAGGATACAGAGGCAGACACTGCACCTGACCGGGCTTCAGGGAATGCGCTAAAGGCTACGATCCTAAGCTGAGGAAGTTCTGAAGTTCGAGGATGTTGAAAATTCACGGTTGAGGGTTGGAAGTTGTGGCTCTGCTCCCCGAACACGAAACAAGACGGAGCACCAACTCACACCGGGCCCCACAGGGCAAAGCGCAATCCAAAGCCTCGAGGCGAACCAAGCAAGCAGAGCTAGCAGAGCTAAGGAGCCTGCACAGACAGCATGGTTGACGTGTGAGTTGAGGGCGAGTCAGTTCTGCCAGGGCACACAAACTGTCTCGCAAATCGCTGCTCATCGGGGTGCACGATCCTGGATTGCAACCCAGGAAGCTTCTGGAGTTCAAGTCTGATATTCAGTTTCCATTCATTTCTTGTGCAACTGCGACTTTTCGGGGTCGAGGTTCGGAGCGTTCAAGGGCGGGGTTGACTCGTGGTTGTTCAGGGTGCTCCAAAACTTCGCCACAAAAAACACCCACAAAAAAGTACTAACAACAAAAACTCACCGATCAACAAACACCAAGGCCCCCCTAAAGACAACGCTGGAACAAATCCTTACCAAGTTTGGCATCCAACATGCCACATCTATAATGAACTTGGAACCCTAGCAAGAATAATATCTTTAGCTGTTTCGTAGGAACTACAGTACCCAGACATTAACAAGAATTCCCAAGAATCCGTAAGATATGATGCCAAATGCAGCCCAGGAATCTCTTCGATTTTGAACCCCATTGGGAGATGTTCGGCTCAGCCAAGCATTGGCGGAAGGGCTGCGTTTGCGACCCAAGGGAAGGGTTTGGGGCTTTGCAGAGTTTAGGGCTTGGGGTTTAGGGTGAGAGTTGCCTGCTGACACGGTCCTGCTGCGCTCGAGAGCCATGTACATTCTCTTGCACGTTGATATCTAAAACGCTGCGTGTCGTGAAAGTGCTAAGCTTGGGCAGATTCATGGTTTGCATCTGTTTGCAGAAGCTGTGTTGCTTGGTGTCCACCTTCGGCGCGGCAATGCAGAGCATAATTGTTCTGTACACCCCCCCGGTGCCTGACTAAACCACTTCCCCAAGAAAAACCTTCGATGGGCCAATCTCTGAAACACTGTTGGGATTTGGTCTGAAAGCCTTTCGGTGAGCCTCTCGAGCCTGTTTTGGCTACGTTTGTGGGAGTCTCGAGCTATGCCGTTTCGGTTGTGGGTCATGTGCGGGTGCCACGCTTGGGCTATTGGGTTCCCTGGACACGGAATGTGGTTGCAATGCTTGTGCAGGTGCAAAGACATGATATCATACCTGCAATGACAGCTCCGGTCTTGCTGCACTGGCCCATGCGCAAGCGGCATTTTTGTCATCATGACATGCACTTACACCGGATACCCGCGCGAGATTCTGGCTTCAAAGGCCACCTAGGTTGCAGTGTGGAGAAGAAGCCTGGAAATGACGAAGAACACCAGAAGCCGCAAGCCCAGGCACGGCCCCTCGCCCACCCGCCTTTTCTGGTGAACACATACAGCATCCGAGCTGAAACCCCCCTAAGCCTTAAGCTATTGGACACCCGAAGCCCGGAGCTTCCCAGCTCTATGCGACACCCCGAAGTCCTCCCGGCTCCAACTCAGGCCAAAGGTTGTCAAGGAAATGCAGCAAAGTGGGGTTCAGGCGGTTTAGGATTCAGGGTTCTTGATACGGCACCCAGAATACCGGCAACTTCATGCTCGGGTTCCGGCTCCGGATCTGGGGCCTCCGAGGGCTTCTTCTCTGGTTTATGGTTGTTATGGTTTAGGGTTGAGGGTGGGATGTTGCATTCAAAGTTGAGTGCTGAGTAGTGCTGACACATTGGGGGCTGAGAGTCACTCAGTACTCCTCAAACCCTAAACCCTAAACCCTTTTTGAGCACGGACTGGGAAACTGCCGGCAACCTGATAGCAGAGCCTTCCTGCGACCCTATACAAGCAGGGGATGCCTTCACAGGCGAGACTTAGTATACTGGTAGAAAAAGGGGCGCTGTTGCCTCAATCCTCTTGCAACGGTTTGCATCGTCACGCCAGGACAAAGCACTCAGGGGACATGCACGGATCTAAAGCACCATGCTTTCCACTGCTGAGGGCATAACTGGATCTTGTCAAATTTTCGAGCTGCACACATCATACGACTAAATCGAAGAGTCCATCTGCACCTCAGTAGCTTGTCGCTGCCGTCGTCGTTCTGCCTTCAGAGCTCTCTTCCTGCAGTGTTCTGCGTCCTTCATTTCTTGCAGGGTTTTTTCAGGAACCACAGCGGGAGCGCGGGCAGCTTCAGTAGACCTGTCCGATGCAGCCGGCCAAGGAGGCTCGCAAGAAGATGGATGATGTGAGGATCGAGAGACCTCCATTGGATGTTGCAAGCGTGTCCACGGGACCTGCTTCCGGCATGTCACACTAAGTGCCTCGTCCAGCATGTCAACCCGACCGTTCAAGTTTAGCATCTTCAAATTCTCGTCCTGGAGGGCCTGAATACGCTTCACTAAATCTCCGGTAGCAGCCTTGAACTCTGTCATAGCATGCGCGACCAGCGTCTCCGCCCAATGCTTACATTCCGCCTCGGAGTAGGTCCTGTCCAATGTTTGCGTTGCAACATCCACGGCCTGATTTTCTGCATCCACAGTTCTCCCAAAGCTGAGCGCATCGAACAAACTGATCTTCACAGCATGAGGTCTGCATTCATTTGCGGGCCGCAAATCATGTAACACTTTCCAAAGGCATTGTGCCGCCGAGTCGTTCCCACTTCGATTAGCCAACCGGATGCAATAAGCAATGCATGCACATAATTTCGCCTGAACCATGGCAACAGCGCGCTATAGATCAGGACAAGACTTGAACTCTCTTGCACGCCCGTTAGGGCCTCGTAGCCACCCTTGAGCCAAAACCTAAACCCTAAACCCCTTTTAAGCACGGACTGAGGAGGCTGCCGGCAACACCCTAAACCCTAAACCCTTTTTGACCCCAAACCCTTTAAAGGGCTCGAAGACTTGCACATGGCTCAGCGACATTTTGCCGAAAGAATCACATGGAACTTGCAGCCAGAACTCTGAACACTTTTGCCCGACAGGTGCTGCAGACTGAAACCCCTGCTAGCACAAGCCTAGACCCTAAACCCCAAACCCTAAACCCTAAACCCTTCTGCAGCAGGCTTGCAGAATGTCCTCCCCTAAACCGAAAAACCTAAACCCTAAGCCCTACACCCTAAACCCTAAACCCTAAACCCTAAACCCCAAACCCTAAACCCTAAACTTAAACCCTTCCTTGAACCCAGACTCCTAAACCCTTTTAAGCCCGCCAGCCTCGTCGACTTTGGGTCCGAAGAACAGGGCGAAGCTGCGCCCTGCCAGGGAGGCTTTCAAGGTTTAGGGTTTAGGGTTTAGGGTTTAGAGTTTAGGGTTTAGGGTTTAGGGTTTAGGGTTTAGGGTTTAGGGTTTAGGGTTTAGGGTTTAGGGTTAGGTTTAGGGTTTAGGGTTTAGGGTTTAGGGTTTAGGGTTTAGGGTTTAGGGTTTAGGGTTTAGGGTTTAGGGTTTAGGGTTTAGGGTTTAGGGTTTAGGGCTCAGGGTTCAGGATGAGTGAAGTAAAACCCCATCGGCCCTCTGAAAAGGATGCTTCTTGTTCTCACGTCGGTTGCCTTGCTCAGTTGAACCACAACATCTAGTGGACTGTGGTTCTCCCTCACAAAGATGTGCTAGCCACGGCAAGCCCTCTTTAACACCTCTGCTAAGCTCGCAAGGGGCCTGCACTCGCCGCTGCGCGTCGCAGCGCCGCCAGCACGCCGCCTGCCTGACGCGCCCCAGCTGCTTGAAACATGCACTCGGGCGCTGAGCCCCGACACCCCAAACACACAAATCGGGGAAACCTGAAGGGGTAAGGATCGCGCCTCCCCGTACCTCAGCTCCCCTCGTTGAGGAATCGTCCAATCATGATTCCAGGAATGCTTTGACCTTTTAGGGCCGCCGCAATCGGCTTCTCAAATGTAAGTAGTGGTCGGCCGGAAACCCTAAACCCTAAACCCTGAACCCTGAACCCTAAACCCTAAACCCTAAACCCTAAACCCTAAAACCCTAAAACCCTAAAACCCTAAACCAAACCCCCCCCCCCCGACATCTCCAGCACCTCCTCAGGCGAGCCCGAGCCGGTTAATGGCTCCTGCTGGGCAGAAGTTCCGGCTGATCGTTTAGGTGTGGAAGGTTTGGGCTTTGGCTGGAAAAGCGGCTTGGGGCTTTAGGACTTTAGGAAACCTGAGAAATGGAGACTGAACTTTGTCCTGCTAAACCCTAAACCCTAAACCCTAAAGGCTGATATGCCTCTGAGGAATCAGACCTTTGGGGAGCCCCACGGCGCAACGCAACGCTGACATATCATGCTGGCACTAGTCACCGAAACCTTTCTGCCCTGAGGTCAACGAGAGCCCCCTCACATGAACCCTAAACCCTAAACCCGAAACCCTAAACCCTAAACCCTGAACCCTAAACCCTAAGCAGCGGGTTTTGCGAAACACTCCATGAACCCCTCAAGCTTTGACAAGATCCTGGTGGCAGTTCTGGCAGTTCCGGGGCGGCAGAGCACCAGAACCCAGTTCTGGAGGTGAGACTTCCTCTGTAGGTTGCTTTGCAAGGCTTGGAGCTCAGAATGATTTGGGGGTGAGAACGCGAACCAGTGCATGAGGGGCTCAGGCTTGGGTTTCATAAATTCTGCTGTCGGATGTGCTCTCATATTCTCAGCTCGGACCAGGCGGGAGGCGGCAGTTCAACGGCGCCAAAAAGCGTTGAGTGCAAGGGCAAGAACGGTAAGGAGGACTCGGTGTGAGGCGTGCAGATGTGCGCAGCACGGGCGGCCCGGCTCCCTGCTTGAATCGCTCCATGTTGTGGGACATACTTTCCTGCCTCGGGCTCTTAGTTGGCTGTGAGAGGCTTCGCTTCACCACGCTTTCGCCTCGGCCGCGTACGCATATTGTCAAATGCAGAACCCTCGTTGCCCGTGACGCTTGCGATGTGTCGTCGTGGTCTAGCAGTGCGGCCTGTAATACGACCGAGATCGGTGTGGCCTGGAATGTCCGAGCGTGTGCGATTCCAAGCTCTGTTAGGTTTACAGTTGAGGCTTGGGGCCGTGTTCTGTGTGAGTGCTAGCTTGAAGCTGTCTTTTGTCATCGCAGTTCAGGAGACGCTGCGTGCAGCCAAGGCTCGACCATCTGAACTAGCCTCAAGGCAAGGGCAGACGAGGCCCATGCAAAGCACGGGGCAGGCTGTATACTACATAGGGTTTTTCAGTTTAGGGTTTAGTTTAGGGTACTTGTTAACTACCCGGCATTATGTGGTGAGAAGAATTTGTGAATTCGCTGAAGGAGGACTCGGAATCTGCCCCAACATCCCCAAGCCCAAGCCAGAAGCCCCCAAGCACCCCAAGCCTCCCCTCAGCCCAGGCACATCGTCTCGCCGCCCTCCGCAGGCTGCACTCGCGCGCGCGGCGGCTGCGAGATTGTGTCAAGTGCCAACCTTGGCTCCAGGGTTTAGGGTTTAGGGTTTTGGGGTTTAGGGGTTTAGGGTTTAGGGTTTAGGGTTTTAAACTTAGGGTTTAGGGTTTAGGGTGTAGGGTTTTGGGTTTTGGGGTTTAGGGGATGTTTTTGGGGTCGGTGCTTGGCATCTGCCCAGATGGACGAAACCGCGCGCGCGCGCGCGCGTGCGCGTGCAAGCAAGCAACGGGGTACAAAGCAAAGCAGTGCGACCAAGCCATCAGTGCACAGCTGGACGTCCTGCAAAAATGGGGAAACCCTAAACCCTAAACCCCAAACCCTAAACCCTAAACCCTAGACCCTAAACCCTAAACCCTCAACCCTTAGCCCTCAACCCTAAACCCTAAACCCTAAACCCTAAACCCAAAGCCCTGTATTACTGCTGATTTTTGAAGCTTCTGAGGGCCTTCGAAGGTTTGTAGGTACCTCGTACATTCAGCTTCCTCTTGTAAGGGGGAGCCGTTTAGGGTTTAGGGTTCAGGGTTTAGGGTTTAGGGTTTAGGGTTTAGGGTTTAGGGTTTAGGGTTTAGGGTTTAGGGTTTAGGGTTTAGGGTTTAGGGTTTTAGTGTTTAGGGTTTAGGGTTTAGGGTTTAGGGTTTAGGGTTTAGGGTTTAGGGTTTAGGGTTTAGGGTTTAGGGTTTAGGGTTTAGGGTTTAGCGTTTAGACTGTGCACAAGTTGGGGTGCCCCCCCCCAACCCCGTGTTTTACTGGCGCACAGCATGAATAGACATTGCAAGAAGGAGACCAACTCAAGAAGTTTAGGGTTTAGGGTTTAGGGTTGAGGGTTGAGGGTTGAGGGTTGAGGGTTGAGGGTTGAGGGTTGAGGGTTTAGGGTTTAGGGTTTGGGGTTTAGGGTTTAGGGTTTAGGGTTTGGGGTTTAGGGTTTAGGGTTTAGGGTTTAGGGTTTAGGGTTTAGGGTTTCGACGCTCACACTGGCATAAGCGGGCGAGGCAAGTCCTGTCGAGATCTCCAGAGTGGGTGCATTGACCACCAGTAATGAACCAACCGGGGTCAGCATACCCGCCTCCTACCACCGTCGGATGTACAATTCTAAGCCATAGTACTGAAGAGCTGACCCCTGATCGATCCCAGACGAACTCAAAACCAACTGGTACGTGTCCATGGCCAACAGAAGTTCTTTGACCCAGTCGGCGTGTCCAACAGAGGGGCTCAAACCATGATAGCTAACAGTATACCTCGATCACCTTTCCACCTTGAAAGCAAGCCTCCCCCATCGGGCCTGGTTGACTATTCGTCTCTATTGGGAATATTGTGAAGGCAAGTTCCCGCTGCGATGGCCTGGGACCAATAGAGCTCTCCGCGCAAGATTTTGTAGCGCATCCGGCCATCTTCGCCAACGTAAAAGGACCTCATGTACCCAATAGCAGGGCAAGTGGTTGAGATCTGGTTAGCGAACGCGTGTGAGTCGGCGCGCTGAATGTAAATGTCAGCATAACCATATGTCGAGTGGACGTCAGCAGGTTGCTTCAAGATGGCGCCAGCCCCTGTTGCGGTGTTGGTAATAAAATCGTGCTGCGCGCAGTGGGCTGCTGTGCAGAACAATTTGTTCGAGCCAACTGCAATTAGCGCGGCGTTGCCTCCAAACGTATCAACCTCACCGGTGTCAAACGTAAGAAAGAGGCTCGCGTCAAGGGGCTTAGCATCAAACTGGTTGACGAACCTCGATCCGACTGCACTTTGCAGTGCCGGGCCTTCTCTCCAAAGAGAGCATTGCGCGGCCAGCACATCGTTGCGCCGTTCAGCTACAGGGTCAACCGCAGCCTGTGGAAATTATCTTGTAATTGACCACAGTTCTGTTCCCAAGCGGATCAGTCAGAGTAGACTGCGCTGTGTCTGGTTGCATAATTGCGGTTTTCCTCCCGTTCACTGTTGGCACGACGAGTGTGGAGTCCGGGTTATTAATCACATTGGGATGCCCCGGGGGAAGCATGGGGTACGATCCAGTGAGATAGCGGGCAAGTTTGAGCCCGAAATCTCGTGGTTTGAATGGCATACCCCCGATGCCCGCGAAGAATCCGCGAAGGAAGTCCCGGCATATCCACGTAGCAAACAATCCCGCGAGCATTTGCAGGAGTGTTTTGCGAGTGTGCGGGTCGGAAAGCAAGACCTTACCTCTTTGGGATGCGACGGACAAAGTAATCTTCAAGCTCCTCAAGGCCAGTGTCACAAAGGCCTTGAAAAGAGCACCAAAACCATCGACCCCTCCCTTGACAAGTTTGTCAAATGCATAAAGCATGGCATTCCCCAACCGCCCACGAAGGGCGGCAG